CGGCTGAAGCCTTCGCAGCCAGTCGGGCAGGAGCCAAGTCGGTGCGTAAAAGCGCAGCGCGGAAAAGGCTCCAAGACCGAGCGATCCTGCTCCTCTTCTTCCCCACCCCCACCCCCAAAAAAACCATAAAAGGGGGCCGGCCGGGAAGGATACAGATAGCCATCCCAGTCCCAGAAGGGGCATCCTCCAAATTAGCCCCCCTCCCCTGCTGTCTTTCGGAGCCATTAGCCACAGGGAAATCTTCGCGGTTGCAAAGAAAACCAAAAAACGACCCGCAGGAACTTGGTGATGCAAAAACGGGGACGAGGATTTCTCTGGCAGGATGCATCGCACCACCTCTGATGGCTTAGCCGCTCCAAGAGCGCCCTCTAATGGCCTCTAGAGGAAAGGAAGAAACAGCTTGCAGGGCCCCCTCCACAAGGAAATAGCTTGCGACTGCTTGCATGGCCAATGCGTTGGGCGTCAGGGTTCTCTCGCAGGCGCCCTGCTGGAAAGACCGAGGCCGTTTTCTTTGAGGCCCTTTTGGGCAGACCAAGAGGCAGAGAGCAATGCCTGAAAATGGAGCTTAAGTTGCTACTACTGCACTGAGAACCACACACGAACAACGGAGGGGAGAAGAGGTGAGCCACGCCCCTCCGAGAGCTCTCTTCTTCACCCCTGTCCTAAGCAGGAGGAAGAGGAGTGAGAACCCTGCCTTCACCCTGCAAGAGAAGGAAAAGCCAAGAGATTGGGGAGAGGCAGCAGCTCAGTGGACCTTCAGAAAAGTCCTGCTTCCTCCCCCTACATCTCTCTGCGTGAGTAGGGGGCCTACAAGCCAGAGAAATCCCTCTCATCTGCCCTGGATGTCTCCAGAGCAGGGCTCCTCAACCTCAGCAACTTTAAGATGGGTGGAGGTGAAGTCCACCCATTTTAAAGTTGCTGAGGTTGAGGAGCCCTGCTCTAGAGGATAGCCTGGTCCTTGCAAGGGGAGTGCAGATGGTTTGGAGACCTCAGGCTCTCATTCCCTTGCAGTCTCCCTCTGGGAGGTACAAGAGTGGGGGATCCTTCCCAAAGCCATGTCCTCAAGACAGAAGAGCCAAGTAGGCACTGGCAGTCCACCTCTTGGTTGAGAGAGAGCCGACCGTGGCTGAAACTTCATCTGCTCTCTTGGCAATCTCCAACCTTCTCTCTCTCTCTCAATCTCAGCAAAGTAATGGGGAGACTTCTTTTACACAGCAGCAGCCAGACTCAAGGAAGAGAGCAGCTCCTTCTCAACTCCCCAGAGAAGGAGCTGTTCCTTCAATGACCTGTCCAGGGAGAGGCCTTACTCTAATGGAGAGGCTGAGCTGTAGATGGGAGACCCTTTTCTCTCCTTCGCCAAACCTCAGTGGAAGCAGGACCCCCTTCTTAGCCCTTTGGCCATCTCTGCTTATGGGCCAAGGAGCTCATTTCCCTCTCCTTGCTCCAAAAACATTTTTTTCCTTCAAAATGAAAATGCCAGTCTTATCTGGTCATTAGGTATTTCCTTAGTGCAGGCCTGCATCCAATATAAAAAGAGTAAGCTTTCGGTAAGAAAATAGCAGGTGTACATTAAATTTTGATTATTTCCATTCCCAAGGTCTGTCCATAAGTTGAATTTGTACGTAAGCCAGAACAGTATTATTGTATAATACTGTATAAGTAGTATGGTGCAATGAACTCAAACCATTGTGTATTTGACTCAAATCACTGTGTATTTAACTTGAATTTTGCTACAATAGGCTCCATTCTTAACTTTGGGTCATCCATAAACTGAGCATTCTTAACCTGAGGACTACCTGTATTCCAAAATGCAGTCATACAATTTCAAACTATGTCACTTAGGCCTCGGTTTAATGCCAAGGGTAATTCAAAGCATCTTGGAATAAGGTTCTCTTTCTGGCCCCTGAAGAATTCCAACTTGGAATTGTAAAGACATGAAATTCCAAAGAGGAATTCTAAATATGAAAACTCTTTGGGCTTCTGCTGCCAGTCACCTCTACGCTTGCCAGGAGTGGCTTGTTTGTAGCTATGCTGACACGGTGCAGGAAAGTTCTGAATTAGGAGGAACCCACAAGAAAACAGCAAACTTTTCTTTCACTTCCGCTTTTTCCTGTAGAAACTGACCCAACCTTCACATTTTTCCCCCTTACTTCCTCTCAATAGAAGCTGTGTGTGTGTTCAGCACCACCATGTTTATTACAGAAGGTCACCTAGCTTCTAACAACCCTCTGCAATTTCCCCATATTTTATGTATTGAAGAATTCAGGTAAAGGCCATTCAGAAGGGAAGAGACTAAGCAGCTGAACTTTTCAAGGCCACTCCTTCAATGTTTATTAACGCAAATGTTCAGCCATCTGAACATGCAATTCTTCTGCTTGTTTATTTCAGCTTGCAAGTGTAAAGTGCACAACTGTGTCTGCCACCCTGGGAGAATCTTATCATTTGCAGGAGATTAGCTTATCTCGCATGAATGTCAACCCGCAAGGCATCTGGCCGATGCCCTTCTTGGAGGAAACAGCCCCCCCCCCAAAAAAAAAGTCATTGCCAAGGGCTTGAACATGTTTTTTTTCAAGTATTCCAGGTATAATGCCATCAACTTCAACATCATTCACAAGGGAACAACAATGAAATATCTGAAATCCGGGGGAAGGGGGGTGTTTACAAGCTGCTATCAGAAAAGGAGGCATTATCTTATAAACTCTCCCTCAACACATCAAGTCTCTTAGTCAATTTCAGGTATAAGTCTCTTCACAATATCACATTAGTTCTTCCAGGAAGTTTTTTAGACTTTCCAGTCTAACCCAATATTTCCCAGGGGTCCCCTAACCAACTCTGACCAGGGTTAGCTTTTGAAGACTGGTGAGGTTGGCCAGGGGTGGCCATCTAGCTGGGCCACATGCTTAGAGAAAGCCAATAATTGGTTTACATTTCATTTCTGTCCTAAGCAGGTCATCATCATCCTTCTTAGTGAGCTTATTTTATTTCTTTCTACTCCTGTAGCCTGGGTTACCAAAGCAGTAATGGAAATACTTTGGCTTCCAAAGGAACTGCCATAAAGGTATTACAATCCCATTAATGGTCATCAAGCACCTTTTCTTCTCTGTCAAGAAGCCAATGGAACATCATGTATTCACCATCAATTAGAATACTTTGAGCAGAATAATCTGTATACTGAACTGCTGCCTGACCTCTGAATCAACTGCCATTATTTGGAAACAATAATTTCCAAATGATTATTTGGAAAGAGCCATTCCAAAAGCTCCTTTCAAGATAGCATCAGAGAAAGCCCACACTGCTTTAAAAAGGATAATATTTCTGGCTACCTGCCACACAGTGTTGGCTGCCAGTGTCTGTCCCACCCAGAATAGACAGTGCAACAATACTTTCATCCTTTGGCAAAAGCCATCAATCGTGGGGACATCTCTGGTTCCACCCAGGGCAAAATGCAGCATAATAAATATAGAGGATAATCACTGAGAAAATCTAAACTCTTAACACTAAGGTGTTAAGATGATCACTTATGATCATCCCATGCTCAACTGACCCCATCTCAAACAACAACATCCCAGCATTTGTTACAGCCAGAGCTGCAATTTGGGGGACCCTCCAGGTTTTGGGGGAACCAACTCCCACCAGATCTTGTCATTGCCCATGCTGACTAGGGCTGATGGAGAAGGGTAACATATTTAGAAGCCAAGAAATTCCTCATCTCCTGTTACAGTAGTAGCAAATGTCACCTGCAGGACAGTTCTACCTATTTTCAAAGTCCATTGAGTTCAATGGGCTTGATCCCCAAAGAGGGACGTTATAAAATCACAGTCCTGGGAAAGTAACACCAAGACCCTTGGGCATTGTTCTGAATGTGGCACAATCAGGTT